TTTGTGCCTTTAAAAAAAGAAGAAAACAAATTCTAAAAGCAAAACAGCTAAGTATAATATAAATAATAGATCAGCACCAGGTACTTGAAAAAAAAGAAAAAAAAAAAGAAAAAAAAGAGAAAAATAATTCATAGAAGAAAAACAGTTATGTCTGGTTTGATTGTAGTGGGTTATCATCAGTGTCACTAAAGTTGATAAACGACCCCCCACTGCTAAATTTGACTGGCTTTAAAAAAAGAAGAAAACAAATTTCTAAAAGCAAAACAGCTAAGTATAATATAAATTAAATAGTAAGTCATAAAAGTGCTTTTGTATCAAAGAATAGCAAATGTGACTGCGACTATATTAAAATTACACAAGTCTGATTTATCCCAGGATGCAAGGGGGGTTCGACATGAGAAAAATCAATGTAATACACCACATTAATAGAATGAAGAAAACTAAATCCACACGATCATCTCAACTGATACATAAAAAATCCAATACCCCTCGGAATGGTAGTTCCCTGGGGGGAAGGAAGGAGGGGATGGGACAGAGAGGGAGCACATGAGCAGATGTAAGTTATGATGATGATTCTAGTTTTCTTGTTGGGTAGTAGTATCATGGGTGCTGACCAACTAGAGATGGATGGACAGAGAGTGGGTGGATAGATACAAAAAAAAGGGCCAGGACCAAGCATGGACCAATAACGAGAGTGAGTTACTTTTTACAATCATGATTAATCTGATTCTAGGTACTTGAGGTTCAAAAGAAAATGCAATTTTAAGAGCCTGGCAAACAAATCTCAGATTAAAAAGTTTAAGATAGATTAAAAAAAAAACCAAGTTTAAGATACACTGAATTACATTTATAAAGTATAACAGTGCTTTAAGCAGAAGATTACATTAAGTTTTAATCCTTGGGACAGATCAAGGAAATGGAAATACATCTTTCAATCTTAATCAGAATGTTAAAAAAGTTTGAGCTAGCTCACCTCTTCTTGAATATACTGTAATAAGAAGGGAGATGCTCTTAAATTATCCACAGGAATATTGAAGAAGCCCTGAATCTCCTTCTGGTGTAAATCCATAGTAATAAGATGAGTTAGACCTTTGAAAATAAAACAGACAGAAACACATAGTTTAAAAACAAGTTGCAGCCGGGCGCGGTAGCTCACACCTGTAATCCTAGCACTCTGGGAGGCCAAGACGGGTGGATTGCTCAAGGTCAGGAGTTCGAAACCAGCCAGAGCAAGAGTGAGACCCTATCTCTACTATAAATAGAAAGAAATTAATTGGCCAACTAATATGATAGAAAAAATTAGCCGGGCATGGTGGCACATGCCTGTAGTCCCAGCTACTCGGGAGGCTGAGGCAGAGGATTGCTTGAGCCCAGGAGTTTGAGGTTGCTGTGAGGTAGGCTGACGCCATGGCACTCACTCTAGCCTGGGCAACAAAGCGAGACTCTGTCTCAAAAAAAAACCAAAAACAAGTTGCACTGTATGTAATAAATACTATATAAAATTCTATATATAATAAATTACTATCAGAAAATTGCTCTCCCATCAAAAAAACTCAGCACCTTTATTGTTCAGATTTTTTAGTACTATGAGATGCATGATTTTCATATCAATTTAAAGTCTTGAAATAGCAAAGATATAACAGTAATACAGAAATGTCTCTAAAAATTCTAATAGAGCAGATTATATCTCCTTGAAGTTTCCTTAATAGGCATGGCAAAGCCCAGTCTTAAGATATCAAAACAAACTGCACCAGCCTGGAAATTGGAGAAAATATAGAACCTTTACCCCTATTATATCCTTAAGGATATCTGAAATGATCACTTGAAAAATATAAGGAAAATTCTATATGAAAAATTTTAAAAAACATCCAGACACGGTGGCTCATGCCTACGTTCCTAGCACTTTGGGAGGCCAAGGGAGGAGAAGTGCTTGAGGCCAGGAGTTCGAGACTAGCCTGAGCAACATGGTGAGACACCATCTCTACGAAAAAATTTAAAAATTAGCTGGGCATGTGGGCATGCCTTTAGGCCTCAGGAGGCTGAGCCAGGAATATCGCTTACCCCCAGAAGTATGAGGCTGCAGCAAGCTATGATTGCACCACTGCACTCTAGCATGAGCAACAAAAAATTTTAAAAAGATATACTTGCCCAAAAGAACAGGAAAGTAAGCCTGCTAGCCTATCCAGGAGCAAGGCTAGAAGAGAGGGCAAAACCTTTACAGAAGATTCAGTGAGCTAGCCTGTTCCCTTTCACCAGCTGCCTGACACAATGTTTTCAATGGGGTAGACTGCTGAGGTTGCTGGAGTTTGGGTTTAAAAAAACTTTTGCTTTGGCATTTATTGGAATGTTACCTTGGAAAATTTATTCTAGAGTAAGTATCTGTGTTATGTCATCTGTGATATATACCTTCTATAATCATATAAACATATATAAGCACACACACACACACACAATAGCAACTATGAAGATTATTTAGACACAAGGTGAAAATACTTCAGATGTTACCTGAAAATTCCTAACACGAAATAATATATATGATTTACAAAATATGCCTATCTGAGCTAGGTGTGGTGGTGCATGCCTACTGTCCCAGCTACTCAGGAGCCTAAGGCAGTAGAATCACTTGAGCCCAGGAGTTCAAGGCCAGCCTGGGTAACATGGTGAGACCTTGTCTCAAAAAAATAAAAATAAAAATAAAATAAATATTTATATATGTCCTAGGAAAGGAAAGAGGCTAAAAAAAAAAATGGTTGCTGCAGAGTTTAGAATGACTTTTCCCCTTTCAAAACAGCTCTGATATGACTGTAAATTATCATATCAATACAATATTAATACAAAGAATTCAGGAGAAAGTGGAAAAAATAAATCATTCTCATTACCTTGAGTTTTAGGGAGTTGAGACTACAAAGAGAATGCTCTGCATTGTCTTCTCCTTATAAACTAACTGTCTGTAAAAGTTGCATCACTATTGTACTCTGTTCAGCATCCTAATTTAAATATGTTAATACTTTGAAATGTCTGAAGTAAAAATAAAACTCCCAGTCCCCCAACTGTCAAATACCTGCCATTCCTACTTACCAGCTTTGCACATCATGGAGGCCAGCAATTTAGAGACAATGGAGCCTCTTTTCCTCATCTTGCACTGCTTGCTGTAAGGAAAGTAGGGGATCACGCCAATGATGCTCTTGGCACAGGAGGTCTTACACGCATACACCATGATCAGGAGCTCCATGATGGTGGTGTTCACATCCCTGTAATCAAGATCCAGCAAATCCCATCAAGGGAGCTAAGACACATACTATTTCCCTGTTTCACAAGTGTCAGCAGTGTGCTGCTAATGCCTCTGTGAGACTTAAAGCATAAAAAGGAAACTAATATATTCCTCTCTTCTCAGGCCATCAGCTCCCCCATATTCACTCTCTGCTGATGACCTTACTTTCTTTCTCACCAAAGAAGTACTCCATTGGAGGAGCGCATGCACAGGCTACCACTGCCACGAGTCTGCACCTCGAGAGTCGCCTGTCCTCAGTCAGCAGTCAGTGGAACTTTCCATGCCAGTTACCCTAAAATTAATCCCTCCAAATTATACCGCTACTGGAAGACATTGATACAGCAGTTCTCCCTCTTCTGCCTCCGCCATCAATCTGCCACGCTCCCTTGGCTCATCCCATCAGCCTATAAATACTCTGTTACTTCCTCCATTAAAAACAACAACTCAGCTGGATGTGGTGGCTCGAGACTATCTTGCCAGCACTCTAGGAGGCCAAAGCAGGAGGACTGCTTAAACCCCGGAGTTCAAGGTTACAATGAGCTATGATCACACCACTGTACTCCAACCTGGATGATAGAGCAAGACACTGTCTAAAAAACAAAAACGAAAAAACAAGACACTGCTCATGTCTGTGCTCCCCTTTGTAGTACACCTCAAGAGAGTTATCTACACTCAACATCTCTGATTCATCCACTCTCGTTCTCTCCCACACACATCCTGATGAAGCTTTGCTCTCATTGAGCTCATCAGTGGCTTCCACGTAGCTACATGCTCCAATCAATCCTTAGTCCTCCTTTCTCGACCCCTCAGCAGCATCTGACAGTTACTCGCCCCTGTTCCTTGATGCACTGTATTCCCTTGGCTTCATGGATGCCCCTTTGGTCTCCTCCTGCCTGCCTCCCCAGCCTCCTGCTCTAAGAGTTGCTATTTGTCCTCTCCTGTCTCCCCTCATCCCTTGGGCTTCTCATCAGTTTCATAGCTTTATAAATGCTGGCGATGCTCACATTTGTATCTCCAGTCCAAGCTTCTCTTCTGAACTCCAGTCTAACAAATTCAACTGCTACTTGACAATTCCACTGGAATGTCTGTTAAGACATCTAAAAACTTAACATACCCATTCAGAACTGCTAAGTCCTCTGCTTCACCAGAAAACTTCTGACATCTTAGCTGATAGCAACACTGTTCCTCCAGTTTATTCAGGACAAAAATCTTGAGTCATCTTTGGCTCCACTCTTACCCAGAAAGTTGCCACGTCTCACCACTCCATGACTGCCCTCGGGGACTGAGCCACCTCCACTGGGTGACTGCCCTGCCCGCACATGGGCCTGAGGCCACGGCACTCCTCCTGGAATCCCTCTGCATCACAGGCTCCACACAAAGCCGGCCTGCCCTTAAAGTGAAAGTCACGCTTTGTACTCCTCTGCTCAAGACCCTGAAATGATTTCCAACTCTGCCCACAGCAAAAGCCCACGACTCACTATGGTCTCCAGACCCCTTCATAGTCCACCCCACCCACCACTTCTTTCCCCTCCTGCTCCACACCCCTCTCAGCCAAGCCACACTCCACCCTGGTCAGCCCTCCCCTGGCAGCTCACTGCCACTGAGGGCCTTGCTCTAGGTGTCCTCACTGCCTGGAACACTCTGATTCCTGCCTCGCCACCTGGCTTACTTCCTTACCTTCTCTGGTCTTTACTCAAATGTCACCTTCCCAATGAGGCCTGCTCTGTCTGCCTCTCACCACCCTTTCACCACCAACACTCCCAATTCCTCCCCATGCTGCTTCATTTTTTCCCTATAGCACTCATCACCTTCTGACATACTAGACAATGTAGTCACTATGCTCGCTGTGTGCCTTCCTCCACTAGAATATAAGCTCCATAAGGACAGGATCTTTCTGTTTTAATCATTAAGGCACCTACCGCACCAGTAACAACTGTAACTACTATATAGTAGACATTCAAAATAAGTATTTGTTAATGAATGGAAACACAGAACATTTGGTGAGCAGGTTCTCTTTCACTAACCAATAACAAGCCTGACATCTGATGAGTTAAGAGACTTTCAGAAAAGCATTATACAAGAAGGATAAGAGCAGAGGAAGCAACAGTGAGTGTAAAGTCACTCCAAGGCTTGCAGACCACGCTCCCAGGAACACCATTTTTCTGTGAGCTAGAAAAAGGCTTTCCACCACTCAACTCAAATAATTCAAGTCTCACTTGAATTACAGAAAAACTTCAGTTAATGGAATTATTTTAAAATTTAAGAATTTCCTTAACTTTTATTGCCTACCACTAGTCTGTACTAAAATGAAGTATAAGCTGTATCTGACAATACCAAATTTCAATGCTATTTCATGATATTTCATAAAGAAGACCATGATGTCAAGGCTTTCTGCAACCCAGACAAGGCTGAAAACCCAAGTTAACACAAGCTTCTGGCACATACGGAGCAATGCAAAATGAAGCATAGAGAGAAAATGAAGGGGGTGCTGAGTGGCTCCGACTAGAGTAACACAAAACTGACAAGAGGCAGGGGCACCGAGTAACAGTATTGAAATTAACAAAAATACAGAAAAGAAATAAAAGAGCTTAAAAATGGGATAGATGGGCAGTCCTCCTTCTGAAGTCCTGAATTCTAAGTCCCATGGGGCCTTCAATGTCTACTTATCCCTTTGGGTAACCCACACAACCACTGGGCATTTATCCAATAGAATTACACACCTCTCTGAGGAAATAAAAGTGCTGCAGACACCCAGGAGCCAGAAGCAGCATAAGTTGTTCTGTGCTTGCATCTTCCCCACCCTGATGCCAGAGGTGAGGTGCGGTACAGGCACAGGTGCGTCCTCCTCTAACACCCTGGCTAGCAGCAGGGGCAGCGAGCACCTGGTGCCCCCATGCTCAGCTCTGCTAAGGATTCCACGTGTCAGGGCATAAAGTGAAGCCAAGGCACTGCCATATCCCTCCTTCCTTCAGGCACACTCCCTCTCCAGGACGATGGGACGCAATGACAGGTCCCCTACCACTCCTTTTCCCAAGAGAGTCACAGGTTTTGTGACTTCATGTCAATGAACCAAAGACCAGGACAGAGATGTTCAAAATTTAGTTGAAAGTATGTGTATTCCAAGGCTAAATTTCCCTAAAATTTGGCTCTTCTTCCCTTTCTTTGATATACATACATACATACATACACACATATATATGCAATTTTCAGGCTCTCCAAGCTAAAATGTGATGCACTACACAAACTGATTTCTAGACATTATTAAAAATCGCTCTGATGGAAGAACTTCATACACAGAGGCATTTGGGGATACATGTGGACAAGCACACAATGGACAGTTGGGCTCCATGTGACCACTCTCCCTTCCAGAGTTGCACAGACAGCTTCACTGCACTGAATCTTCTATACCCAGCTTACACATTTGTGACCTCAACAACTTCCAGAACACATGTATGTCAAATGTCACACCACAGAGGAATACACATTCATTCAGCAGTCTTTTATCTTCCCAGCTCATTTAATACATGCAAGAAAATAGTAAGTGGTGATCACTTTAAAATTATCAGCAATAAAAGCTCTTACAAATTCTGGCTATTAATTGTTAAGAAATTTAATGGGTTCTATTTTCATCAAGAGCCTCTACTCCAATTTTCAGTTATTTCCACCCATCAAGAACACCGAAAATACACAAAAAAGTCAGCAGTTATGTCAGGAAAATTAGCAGAGTAAGATACACCAACTTTAAGACTATCATAACTTTCTGTCTAGCCAACTCTCAAGATTCTAAACACTCATTCCTACACAGAGACCCAGAAAACATTCCTGCTAGATAACTACTTACTTTGAAACGGTTTGGATAATGAAAACATCTTTTCCCCTCACAGACTCTTGAATTTGTACTCTTGTTTCTGGCAGAAAAAGAAAAAAGATGAAAAGCGAAGGCATACAGCTCAAATTTTTCAAAATACATAAAAATTATGCATTATTCACCAATGTTAAAAAATACGGAAACTGGAACTGTTACAAAACTCAGTAGGTGTCAAATGCTACAATGGATAATAAACATATTACCATTAATCACACTTTTTAAACAGTTATGTGACAGCTTTAACAGGGAATTATATTTCTGACTTGAAATAAGCAAATCTACAATTCTCACCCCTTATATGTATAAGCACTGAGTACTGTATCACTGTGAGCATAAGATCTTAATAGGAAATTATATACACATTCATTTGATTCATATCCATTAAGAAGTTACTAGGTACAAAATGTTATATTAATATGTGTGAGAACAAAGATAAGTATGATCCAATATCCCTACTCTCAAAAAATATGATATCAGCAACAAGGAATAGTTAGACAAATCCAGAATGGAACATTCCACAAGTCAAGCTCTTCAATAGTCAATGTCAGGCCGGGCACGGTGGCTCACGCCTGTAATCCTAGCACTCAGGGAGGCCGAGGCAGGCAGTTGGCTCGAGGTCAGGAGTTCAAAACCAGCCTGAACAAGAGTGAGACCCCATCTCTACTATAAATAGAAAGAAATTAATTGGCCAACTAATATATATAGAAAAAAAATTAGCCGGGCATGGTGGCAAATGCCTGTAGTCCCAGCTACTTGGGAGGCTGAGGCAGTAGGACTGCTTGAGCCCAGGAGTTAGAGGTTGCTGTGAGCTAGACTGATGCCACAGCACTCACTCTAACCTGGGCAACAAAGTGAGACTGTCTCGAAAAAAAAAATAGTCAATGTCATAAGCAGAAGAAAGAGAAGGTGAGGGAAATGTTCTATATTAGAAGAGACTACAGAGATATTAAAAAAAACATCGCTTAACTAAGAATCCTGGTTTGGGGGTGGGCTGGGGAAGCTATAGGCCAGGCATAGTGGCTCATGCTTGTAATCCCAACACTTTGGGAGGCCAAGACAGGAAGATCATTTGAGGCCAGGAATTTGAGACCAGCATGGGCAACATAGCCAGATGCTGTCTCTACAAAAAATTTAAAAATTAGCCAGATGTAGTGGTATGTGCCTATAGTCCTAACTACTCCAGAGGCTGATAATGGGAGGATTGCTTGAGCCCACAAGTTTGAGGGTATAGTAAGCTATGATCATGTCACTGTACTCCAGCCTGGGCAACACATCAAGACCTTGTCTCTAAAAAAAAAAAAGTTATAAAAGACACTTCAGAACAACTGGGTAAATGTGAATGTATACCAAATGTTAGATGATTAAAGAGCTATTGTTAATTTCTCTAAATTTGACAATGGTATCATATTTATGTAAGAGAAAGTATTTAGGGGATGCGTGGTCAGATATTCAGGGCTTAAGTGTCTTGATGTCTGCAACTCGCTTTCATATAGTTCCATACCTACATATTCATATAGCAAAATGTGGTTTTTCTTGTTGTTGTTTTTTTTGTTTTTTTTGAGACAGTCTTGCTCTGTTGCTGGTACTAGAGTGCCGTGGGGTCAGCCTAGCTCACAACAACCTCAAATTCCTGGGCTCAAGTGATCCTCCTGCCTCAGCCTCCAGAGGAACTGGGACTACAGGCAAGTACCACCAAGCCTGGCTAACTTTTTCTATTTTTTAGTAGTTCCTGGCTAATTATTTCTATTTTTTAGTAGAGACAGGGTCTCACTCTTGCTCAGACTGGTCTCAAACTCCTGATCTCAAGCGATTCTCCTGCCTTGGCCTCCCAGAGTGCTAGGATTATAGGTGTGAGCTACTGTGCCCAGCCCATATAGCAAAATGTTAACTGTTGAACCTAAACTGTTGAACCTATCTACCTAGTGGTAGATAGACATATGGATGTTCACTGTATTATTCTTTCAACTTTCTGAGATGTTTGAACATTTTCATTAAAAATGCTGGAAAAGGCCAGGCATAGTGGCTCACACCTGTAATCCTAGCATTCTGGGAAGCCGAGGCAAAGCATCACTTCAGGTCAGGAGTTTGAGACCAGCCTGAGCAAGAGTGAGACCCTATCTCCACTAAAAATTAGAAAAAATTAGCCAAGCATGGTAGCACATGCCTATAGTCCCAGCTACTCGGGAGGCTAAGGTAGAAGGATGGCCTGAGCCCAGGAGTTTGAGGTTGCTGTGAGCTAGGCCAATGCTATGGCACTCTAGCCCAGGGAACAGAGCAAGAGACTCTGTCTCAGAATAAAAAAAAAAATTTAAAAAGCTGGAAAAAACAGAATATAAGTTTACCAAAGAATGTGGTGTGATAAGAAAATGAGCTTTGGAGTCACGAACATCTGGATTTGAATCCAGACTCTGCTATATCTGGGACCTTGTACCTAGCATCACCCCTAAACTCAGTTTTTCAGTATCTGGGAACAGTAAGGAATCCACAAGTGTTAGTTTCCTCTTCCTTTCCCAATAGACCCCAAATATCTTCCCTCCTTTCATTCAGAAACCTGGAGAGTAGAACAACCTCTACAGAGCCTTACAACACTGCTGCCCTCTTTGTCCCTCCCTGCCAGTCTCCAAAGGACACCAGCCAATTCCCTTAGAGGCAGAATCTTTTCCAAATCCTCCTTGCATAGTTTCCTCAATTATACTCTTTCCCTACTGAAGCTACACGGGGAATCTTGGGAGACAGGAAAGGCAGTAAAGGAGGTAAATAGGGGAACAGCAAACTTGTGCATTTTTATCAAAGCTCCCTGCAAGCTTTATAATATTTAAATACTTGACAAAAACCTATAGTGGTAAAGGAGCAGGAACAAGTATTTATTGTGTACCTATTATATTCCTAGAACTGTGTTAAAGATACAAATTATCCCATTTAATCCTCAAAACAGCCCTATTTATTTACAGGGCAGAAAAGTTAAATAACTTGTCAAGGATAAAATGATGGCTCTCAAGCCCATGCAAGCTGTCCACCGCTCCTGTTAGAATAATTTCAAATATCCACCATTTCTAAAGAAATTACAAAGATTAAATAACAAACTTTTTTTACAACTTGAGATGATTACGTAATGGCATATTATCAGTTAGCAGAAAGTGTTTCCTAACAAGATTTCATGAAGTCTAACTCATGGCAACTTAGGTTGAGGTAAACAATGACCGACTAAAACTGTGGTCACCCAGGATTTACTCATTCTGCTTAAGGTGACAAATTTAACCAATGGTCAAGTGAATGTTTTCATTCAGCTGACCAGCTGGCTCATATATGTATACAGTTTTTATTAAATGTGGTCTAAGAACTGAAGTTCAAGCCCCCAGATGTGATTTGCACCAGGATTACATATCTAGTTGATATTAGTGGGAGCTAAAAAAACCTACTCTCTTCTACCTTACCTACCTAACTTCTTGCTAATGGAACTGGATGACTAAATCAAATCATTCCAATAGTAGAGGATGAAGGACTGAGCCAAAATAACATATCCCACAAAAGATCAATGTTAGGCATGTCCGAGAGCGCTCACCTCTGTTAGGCTCCTGGTAAACCTGCACTTTGCCCATCTCTACCCCCAGCCGCCTAGAGAAGAGAAAGGGGGGAAAAGCTGAAATGGTGATAGAATAGACCCAACATGTTTACTATTTAAGGAGACTTATAAATTGACAAAAGTAAAATAAAGTTATTCTTCTAATAAAACTCAATTGAATTGAATTGTATGTCACTCCATTACCTAGGCACCTCGCCCCCACCCCATGTCAACCCAGGAAGGGCTGCACAGTCGGGCTCGGCCTGCCTCACCAGCCATCTTCCTACTGCTCTCTGCGCTCCAGCCCACAGCCCTGAGATACGCCAACGCCTCTTCCTGCACACTGCAGGGCCCTGGAGACTGCTGTCCCCTCTGCCCTAGACCTTTACTTGGTGGCTCATTCAGGTTTCTCAATTCAAGAACCATCCCTTCAGTTTAAAAGGCACCTGACCACCCAAGCTAAAGCAGAACACCTGCCCCCATCATTACTTTCACACTGTCTTCTTTGTAGCATTCATCACCATTTGAAATTATCTTATTTGTTTTGTTGACTTGCTTTCTGTCTAGCTCCCATACTAAAATGTAAATTTCATAAGAAGGATTCTGACTGACTTGCTCAGTGTTTTTTTTTTCTTTTCTTTTCTTTTGAGACAGAGTCTCACTCTGTTGCCCGAGTTAAGAGTGCTGTGGCATCAGCCTAGCTCACAGCAACCTCAAATTCCTGGGCTCAAGTGATCCTCCGGCCTCAGCCTCTCAAGTAGCTGGGATTACAGGCATGCACCACCATGCCCGGCTAATTTTTTCTATATATTTTTAGTTGTCCAGCTAATTTCTTTCTATTTTTAGTAGAGACAGGGTCTTGCTCTTGCTCAGGCTGGTCCTGAACTCCTGAGCTCAAATGATCTGCTCACCTTGGCCTCCCAGAGTGCCAGCATTACAGGGGCGAGCCACCGCTTGCTCAGTGTTAATCCCCAACATCTAGATTAAGGCCTAGTACCTAGCAGTGGTCCAATATTTGTTTAATGGATATCTAAAACTATACTCAACTATAAACTATACACTATTTTCATATGGTATACACTTCAGTGTTCTTTATATTAATAATTCTATACATATATAACACCTAACACAATTCCTGGCATTTATGAGGCATTCAACAAACGAATGAATATGTAAGGAGTTGTGATAATGGACAAAAAGGTTAGCCCCAAAATACAGAGATGATAGATTAACTATAAGATATCTGCTTTCAAGTTTAACAATCACTAACCTGATTATTAAATTTAAAATATTACTTAATATAGGTTTTAATAACTTACTCAGCAATTTTCTTTGAAAGCTCCATACACGATGAATTAGAATTTGCTGAAAACAACACCAGACCTCCTTTGGTTATGTTCATCTTGGTTTCTAATTCAGGTGGCGCCACACAAAACATCAAAACCTTCTTGGTTTTCCAATTCTCAGAGCCTAGAAGGATACAATATATATTAACAACTACCATATGGTATGAAATATACCTGATTTTTTAAAATAGCAAACGATTTTAGCTGAAGGAAATTAGTTTGCACCATAATGGTGTCTATTACATCATTTATATAAATACATATATATACACGAACAAACAGTTCATTTGAATTTTAGGGTTCCAAATTTATGGAAGTTATGTTATCACATGATTAAATTAGTTTTCATAACCACTGGGAATAAATAATAAACTTACAAGAAAGGCGGAGCTGAAGAGCTCAGTGTTTTACTGTTTGCTGCTTAAAGTCAATTATGGACAACGTCCTTTTATTCTCTGACAACAAAATTCCTCCTGGATTAACACACAGAAAAATGGCAGAGCCATTAGCAAGGACATGGACTGATTGATCCTTAAACAAAGAATAAACGACCCATCTATAACCAGCTTTTCCTGTAATCCTGTTTACCATAAAACCTTCTCCTGGCCTTTCGGCTGCCTCTCAGATGCCCTGTGTCATCTTCATTTTCCTCAACTAGAACACAAGGCTTACCAGATAATAACCTTGAAGGAAAGTTAAGTGACCACTCAAATGACAGGTGGCAGCCACAAATAAAAAGGACCCCAGCCTAGAAGTCATCAAGAACTGAGATTCTCGGCCAGGCGCGGTGGCTCACGCCTGTAATCCTAGCACTCTGGGAGGCCGAGGCGGGTGGATTGCTTGAGGTCAGGAGTTCGAAAACAGCCTGAGCAAGAGCGAGACCCCGTCTCTACTAAAAATAGAAAGAAATTAATTGACCAACTAATATATATAGAAAAAATTAGCCGGGCATGGTGGTGCATGCTTGTAGTCCCAGCTACTCGGGAGGCTGACGCAGCAGATTGCTTGAGCCCAGGAGTTTGAGGTTGCTGTGAGCTAGGCTGATGCCACGGAACTCACTCTAGCCTGGGCAACAAAGCGAGACTCTGTCTCAAAAAAAAGAACTGAGATTATAATCCCATCCACTCTAGGCTGTGTCCTTATCATGCAATGGGGGTGCAGGATTGGATGTAATAGCAACAATCTAGCAGGCCATGAGGAATGAGATAAGGGCCCTTTCCTAGCACACCCACTGCATCTCCTCAGTTGTATGTTTACTTATGATGGCTCTGGGAAGACTGGTGGAAATTATAAACAGGCTCAAAGTGAGCTGATCATTTTTGTTATTCTTAAATTTTAACTATATGAGTAAAACACAGACACATTCTCCTTGTAAAAACCTGAAACAGTTAAGGCTAAAGTCACCATCCCCAATCCCATGCTTCTCCCCACCCACTTCCCCAGAGTGAGGGTTCTTATTAGTTTGGTATGAACCATCAGGCCTTTTCTATGCATTCACACACGTGACCTCCACAAAAAATATGTGCAAAAATGCATACATCATACAATGTTTCTAACAAGAAAAAGTATCATACAAATCTATCTGTAATTTGTTTTTTGTTGTTGTTGTTTTTTTTTTTTTGAGACAGAGTCTTGTAGAGTGAGTGCCATGGCATCAGCCTAGCTCACAGCAACCTCAAACTCCTGGGCTCAAGCAATCCTGCTGCCTCAGCCTCCCAAGTAGCTGGGACTACAGGCATGCACCACCATGCCCGGCTAATTTTTTCTAATTTTTTCTATGTATATTAGTTGGCCAATTAATTTATTTCTATTTATAGCAGAGACGGGGGTCTTGTTCTTGCTCAGGCTGTTTTCGAACTCCTGACCTCGAGCAATCCGCTCGCCTCGGCCTCCCAGAGTCCTAGGATTACAGGCGTGAGCCACCACGCCTGGCCGGTAATTTGTTTTGATAAACAACCTATTCTGACAAGCTGGGTTATAAGATATAGATGTATTTTGCTCTAACTCTGCCTAGTTTGCCACTTTTAGCCAGGTCTGACCTGGCCTTCTTGTACACGTGCAGTGGGATCACAAGGTTCAGTACTCCAGCAGGCTAGGGCACACTTTCCGCAGAGTGCCTCCTTAAGGGCATTCCAGCTAATACAACCCAGGGTTCCATGGTGGAAAATATGGCAGACTACAACACAATCTACCTTAAATTTACCTATATAAGCAGAAATGTATGACAACTGACCAAAGCCCTAAAGTAATCAAGGAGGACCACTGGTATCTACCATGGAAAGTGGCTTTGGAGTAGGGATCAGCGAATTATAGGCCACAGGCCAGATGAGGTCCCTTGAAGGCCTGTTTTTGTAAAACACAGCCACACCTATTTGTTTATATTTTGTCTCTAGACACAATGATAGCATTGAATATGGCCTGCAAAGCCTAAAATATTTATTTGATAGCATGAGTATAAGCTAGACATGATGGGACACATCTCTAGTCCCAGCTACGTGGGAGGCTGAGATGGGAGGATTGCCTGAGCCCAGGAGTTCAAGGCTGCAGTGAGCTAAGATTGCACTACTGTATTCCAGCAGCCTGTCTTTACAAAAATTTTTTAAAAAACCAAAAACCAAAACAAAAAGCACTGAGTATGGCCCATAAAGCCTAAAACATATATCATCCGGTTCTTTACAGAAAAAGTTTGCTGACCTCTGCTTTATATAAGAGTGTAGGATCTGCAAAGGCTAATGAGAATGGGGGCAGAGTGGCTGGTATAAATGAGAAAATAGCACATTTTAATCATCAATATTCATAGGTAGAAGGAATCTTAGATGACTTCTAAAGCCAACTCTTGACCAATATACATCTAACACCAGAGGGTGTCACAGGTCCAGGAATGGAAACAAAAAACCAATTCTCCTGTAGTTAGGTATATACGCTTTGGAGTCAAACTCTTATTTGCATCTTGGCTACTACTTCCCCTTAACTCACAGCGAGGCCTTGCATAAGTTACTTAAAATCTCTTAGCCTCAGTTCCTTCATTCATACAACTGTGAAAACTGACCCCAGGGTATCTGTAAAATTTCTTAAGGCACTTAACACAGTGCCCTGAATATAGGGCATGCTATTAATACATTTAAATTGACTTCTAATATCTGGGTTATCTACTAAACAAGTACAGTAACATACACGGGGAGACTTTTTACATCCCCTCATCTTTAAATAAGACGCACCTTAAAATAGAACAGTGTTCTTTTTTTTTTTTTGAGACAGAGTCTCACTTTGTTGCCCAGGCTAGAGTGAGTGCCATGGCGTCAGCCTAGCTCACAGCAACCTCAATCAAACTCCTGGCTCAAGCGATCCTTCTGCCTCAGCCTCCCAAGTAGCTGGGACTACAGGCATGTGCCACCATGCCGGCTAATTTTTCTATATATATTAGTTGGGCCAATTATTTCTTTCTATTTATAGTAGAGACGGGTCTCGCTCTTGCTCAGGCTGGGTTTCGAACCTCCTGACCTTGAGCAATCCGCCCGCCTCGGCCTCCCAGAGAGCTAGGATTACAGACGTGAGCCACTGCGCGCGGCCAGAACAGTGTTCTGGAACACTTAGAAGACAAGTATTTTAGGGTAGGAAGAGATCTTAGAGGTATAATTCAGTCCACCTCTCCAAAATCTCTTGTTAGAAGACCATCTGCAGGATTCCCCCCAAGGAACCATTCCACAGCTTTAGCAGTGGATGTGGGTGATATGCAGATCCACCGACGGCCCATCATTCCAAATTCTTCCTCAAAACATGCTAAGACTCTTCTCCCTGAAGACTACTTCCACTGGTTCCTGTCCTTTCAGATTTACAGGAAATCACCCAAGGTGTTGGTATAATTAAAAGGAAAAAAAAAAAGTAAAGATTTACAGGAAACATCAAATTTCTTTTCAAAAGGACAGCCTCCAACCTATCTCAAGATAGGCTGAATTTATGTACTTTTTTCCAGAATATTTCCTGAAGTCTTTCCTTGGTTTAAGTCTCTCGTGGTTTATATACCCTGCATCACTCTGACTGTGGTCTCTGAAGTTCCAGTCTTCAGGTATCAGGCTGGTATAACAGAATTCTAACCTAATACAACCCTCAAAATTACATGCCATGGGGAGCGGGGGGTGGGGGTGGGGGCTGGGGATCATCCACTTGAAAATGAATATCAATATAGTCATGTTTTGTAACTATTCATTTCACAAGTTGTTCAAACATAAAGGCTGTTTCTAGTTTTAGTTCTCCTTTCTCCTGCTGGAAATTCAGGTTGTGCTCTTTACCAAGCTTCAAGAAAAGAGAGTTTTAAAGACTATCTTTCCAGAATGGGGCTGGCAAGAGGTTCACTAAGACAAGGTTTTAGTGTGAAATAGAGTAAAGATAATGTTACCATATTTTTTCCATGAGCTACAGATGCTTATATGTTTACTGTAAATTTATGCTAGAATGTAAGAGAATTGTTTATGTGTGAAAACACATCCTTTTCAGACAAATCTCAGCATCATCTTTTTTTTAGGGTTTATTTATTTATTTATTTATTTAGAGACAGAGTCTCACTCTGTTGCCCATGGCTATAGTGCCGTGGCATCAGCCTAGCTCACAGCAACCTCAAACTCCTGGGCTCAAGCCATCCTCCTGCTTCAGTCTCCTGAGTAGCTGGGACTATAGGCATGCGCCACCATGCATGGCTAATTTGTTCTATATATTTTTAATTGTCCAGCTAATTTCTTTCTATTGTTTTAGTAGAGACAGGGTCTCACTCTTGCTCAGGCTGGCCTGGAACTCCCTAGCTCAAACAATCCTCCCCCCTCAGCCTCCCAGAGTGCTATGATTACAGGCATGAGCCACCCAGCCTGGCCTCTCAGCACCTTTTAAAGAGCAAATCACAATCCTCTTTGAATGTGATTTGAGAATTTAAGTTTCATGAATGAGGAAACCATACTAAAAGAGATCTCAGGTTCTGGACAGACTAACAGTCATTTCAAAACCACTCATCCACATTCAGATGAGGAAGGCTCACATTGTGTTGTTTTCCTCTAAAGCAGCACCCTCAACCTTTTTGGCACCAAGAACTAGTTTCATGAAAGGCAATTTTTCCATGGGGATGGGGGCAAAGGGGGAGGCAGAGGTCAGGCAGTGATGCCAGCAATGTGGAGCAGCTGTTAATACAGAGGAAGCCACCCCTCCCCTGCTGCTGTGTGGCCCAGTTCCTAAGTTTTATGGAAGACAATAATTTTTCCACTGGGGGGGGGGTGCGGTGGCAGAGTCCTGGAGTTGGGGACTGCAGCTCTAATCATCCACTGTGTAAATATCTTCTTCTTAAAAATGGCTGGAGGCCTAGCAGTGAAGCACACCTGTAGTCCCACCTACTTGGGAGGCTGAAGCATGGGGACCCACTTGTGAGCCAATGTGAGTTGGAGGCTGCAGTGCACTATAATTGCACCACTGAACTCCAACCTGGGCAAGAGAATGAGACCTTGTCTCTAAAAAAAAAAATGTTTTTGAATTCATTGAGTAAGAGAGGGAAGACTGGGTTTGCCTTCCACAGCCACCAGTTGCCAGGCCTTACGCACATCAGTTGGCCTTGCAGGGCCTCAACCTTTACCTTCCAGACCAAAGAGATAGCTTTTTAGGATTTAAGGCCCAGGAAGCAGAGAATTTTTTTTTTTTTTTTACTTTTTACTATTATATTCTCTGGGGTTTACCTAGTGCCTGCCTCAAAC